ATTCTAGAATCAGATGATTTGTTCTAGGGTTAGATGGTTGCACAACTCTGAATATCCCAAAAGCCACTGGATTGAATAGTTCAAACGGGGGGAATTGTATGGTCTATGAATTAAGTCTCAATAGAGCTGCTATAAAACAAATTACATGAGGTTTAAAAAAAGACAAAGTGATGGAAACATATCTATTAAGTAAATAATAGCTCCCTGGGGTCGTGATGGGGTAAAATGGTTAATATAGGAAGCCAACATTACAGTCGTGGAAACTGAGGCTGCGTGAGGAAGAATGACCCGCCCAGGCCACATCACTACTGAACCACAGTGCGCCATTCCTAAGTCTGGCCAAATCCAGAAGCTTGGCCCAAGCACCAGGCGACCCGGCTGGAACGGGAGGCCATGAGATGGGGTGCGCAAGAGGTGTCCACAGCCCAGGGTGGGGGACAGACCTGCCAGGAGGTTGGGGAGGTAAAGGCCCAGCTACCTCTGTGGGGTTCAAAACAGGAAGCACCCCCCAAAGCCAGGGGAGTGCCAGAGAACGCTCCCACCAGGGGATGCTACCCGAAAAAGCGGCCAGCCTCGTAAGACCTGAAGTCAGGAGGTCTGAGGGGGAGTTTAAGCCCTCGCTGGGGGACCTAGGGTCATGGACGCGTGACCTCTCCGAGCCTCAGTTTCCCCATCTGTAAAAGGGGAAGGGGCGAGGTGACAGGCGCAGTGCTTTCGAAGGACTGCTGAGTCAGACGGCTCTCCCCCTTCCTCCCCTTTGAGTGGGAAAGCTCAGGCTGACCTCCATCCCACATGGTAATAAAGACTCAGATGTTCACAGAATAGCAGCCTGAGGGCCCTGTGGACCCAGCAGGAGCCTGCAGGCAGTTCCAGAGCTGAGGCCAGTTCTGACAGGCTGTGCCCGCCTTCCTGGTTGCTACCTATTTTAGCATATACCTTGGCTGTGGCCGATGCCCCGTAAAGTACCGGCCGCACCCAGCACCCTTAGCTGCTGGCGCCCCAGAGAAATGGTAGTTTTTATAACCCGTATACTTCACCACTGGGCCTCTCAAGTTCGTCTTCCTCAGTCCAAGCCCAGCTAACACGTATCCGCGTTCATGCTTTCACAGCCACCCCTCCATGGGAGCTGAGGCATGGAGGAGGGTGCCTGGTTTAGATGCTGCTCTTTTAACAGTCTTAGGTCTCCGTGTAGTTTTACGTCTAACTCCTTTGCGGGTTGATCTCCAGATCCAATAAGGTTAGAAGAGGGGTTTGAACCCCTTTTGTGAGGAGCAGCGGGGCAGGAGGGGGCTCCCTTAGCCACGTGTCTACACGGGCACATGCACAGGGCTGCATGCAGCTCAGCTCACCGGGACGTGCCGCAGCCAAAGCTGGGGAGCCCACTCCACAGAAGCCCACCCTGCGGGCTGTGACTCCTGCGAACCCGGCTGACTCGGAGCACCGAGGCCCAGCACACACTTTCAAGTGACATACTGCCTGCTTCCTGGTGCCTGCAGCTGGCGGAATGGTGCCCCCACCCCACCTTCCAAGGTATGCTTATCGTACGTTTCCACCTGTCAGGCTGTGAACTACACTGGGGCGGGTATCTCTGTCTTGCTGATTCACTGATGTGTATCCCAAGCGCACCGAAGAGTGCCAGCACGTGGCTGATGCTCAATAGCTATGTTTTGACTGATCAGGTCCGGGGTGCCCAGCCTCGGCGCCCCTGCCCCCTTGCTCTTGCTACCACTTCCAGCCCCAAGCTTTGTGAGGCGTCCTCCATCCAGCTCATACTGGGAGGGAGAGGTGGCCGGGCGGTGGGATCCTCCGGCCACATTTCGCCCCCTCCTCCCGTGGGACCCCAAGTTCAGGAGGGTTTCCCCTGCCCCGAGCTCTCGGCGCACCCCTCTCCAGCCCGCGATTTCCGCCTCCCAATGCCTCCACTTGTGATTCGCCCGGTAACTCCCACGGCGGCTGCAAGCAAACTTCCACGCGCCCCCCGCGCCCCCCGGCGCCCGC